TGAGGGAGGCGGGAGTGGGGAGGGAGTGGAAAAATGAGGACCTAATGCCGGGGGCTTAAGTGGAGAGGAAATGTTTTGAGAATGACGAGGGCAATGAATGTACAAATGAGCTTTACACAATTGTATGTATGGATTGTGATAAGAGTTGTCTGAGCCCCTAATAAAATGATTAGAAAAAAAAAGACTACAGCCCAGAAAAAAAAAGTATGGCTATAAGACTTCAAACAAAGAGCTAAATATCCCTGTATTTTACCTAAACACAAATAAATAAGCGACAGACTAAGTGAACAGAAGCAGAGAAGTGGTATGAGATCGCTGTTCAAAAGATCTTTGAGTGTCAGGTCACAATCCCGAGTCTGCTACTTAAGTAGCCGTGTGTGATCTTTCTCAAGTAGCTGAATTCACTAAGAAAGTTTATCATAAGTTCAGCAAGAATAATATCACTGCCCTTGCAGGAATCTATATGAGCATGCAACATAACTGGTTTATAACAGGGAGTTAACTAACATTAGCTGCTTACGTAAGTAGTAATAATGATAACTTAATCAGTACCGGCTAATTGAGTTATTGGAACAATGTCAGTCATGACAGTGGACTTGGTCCTTAGATGAGCCCCAGATAAATTATTAGTGATGCCCTATTTCAAGGTCACAGCTTCCTTCTCTCATCTGAGACCCAGACACATACACAAGCCAACCTATGCTGGCTACAGTGGCTTGGGTGGCAGGGGTGAAGAACGGTGGGATTTTTATTAATACCATGCGGGAAAAAAATTCAAAGTGCCTGCCTGGAGGCTATCTTTTGTATAGTGTCTACTCCTTTCTCTGCCCCTTCATTTACCTTGGTTTGAGTCTTTACCATCCCTAACCGGAACCATCCCCAAACTCTCCCTTTCTCCAGCCTCCTATGCTATACAAGAAGGCTACAAAAAGTTTGTAGAGAAATGGAATAGAAAACAAATGAAAACTTCCCACAAACTTTTTGAAGACCCCTTGTATTTGTGACTTAAACTTCCAAGAACATAGCTTTAATTAGCTTACTTTGTTTATATATCCACTGCCTGCATTTTTTGCTTGTTTATATCCAATTCCTGTTAAGTCCATTCGTTACAATTGCTGGACCATCATCTCCAGGACCCCTCCACACTGGACCAGGCGCTCTTTATGGCCTTCGTTCCTTCTCAAAGTAAGTGCTTCAGGCAGCCTGGACGACCTGCTCTGTATTCCTCACCCCCTCTCTCTTTTTCCTATCCTCCTTGCTCCCTGGGAATTTCCCCCTTATTCTTGATTTCCATCCATATGCTTTATCGATCATCTCAAATGGGTCCCAACTTCCAAATGTTTTATTTTCCTATATGAAGGGACTTCAAAAAGTACCCTGGAAGAATTCCATGATTTTCCCACAAACTTTTTGATGTCCCCTTTTGTATGAGTGATTTTAAGTGCTGTCCACCCGACTTCCTTGGCAAGCTTATCTCCTATCTCAAAGCAGGAATAATTCTGAGACCTTGGGACTCAACATTGCCACTAGTCCTGCTTACCCACACCTCGTTCTGATAGTTAGGCTGTAACCTACTCCCAAATATTCAATCTCCCCTCCATCTGCTTTCAGGGGCACTGAACAGCCATCTCGTGGCCTGTGTCTGAGTACTCGCTGGGGATACTGACTGGTTTCTGCTTTGCTCTTGGGAAGCTGACTCTACTCAGAAAGATCTACTCTTGGCCTGGAACCCAACTCCTGGTGGCTAGCACTCTGTTCCCTACTGACAGATCTTCATCTGTCAACAAGAAAGGAAGGAGGAAAGGGCAAAGATACAGAAAGACAAGATGTTAATAGAAGAAGCAATGGAGGTAAAGGGGTTTATTATATAACTTTGTACTTTCTGCAAATCTAAAATTGCCCTAAAAAATAAAGACTGTAAGGAAGGAAAGAGAAAGAGAGATAAGAAGAATAGATAATATGAGCCTACATTTATAGGTTTAGTATTAACGTAGCAGAAGGACATTGGGCCTCCACTCAAGTACTCCCTCAACACAAGAATACTTTCTTCTAGTAAATTG